GTATCAGCCTCGATATTTCAAGGAACCATGGCTGCTATGTTTCGAGGATTAAGTGGAATCATGTATTTAGATGACGTTTTGATATCCGGTAGAGAACAGGAGAATAATAAGAGATTAATTAAAGTATTCGATAAAATATTAGAAAATGGTTTGAAAGTTAATATAAGATCATTGTTTTTGGAGGAAAGGAAATAATATACTTACATATAAAAAACTGAAATGAAATTTCTCCAATTTCAAAGAATATTGATAAGATTATGAGCATGAGAGCACGAATAATAAAACAGAATTAGCGTTTTTAGAAGCTACCAATTATTATCACCGTTTCATACAGAATTATGTATAAGTTATTGAAGAAAAATATAAAATTTGAATGGGGAGTAAAATATGTTTCGAAATATTAAAGATAAAGTTGTAGAAAACCCTATTCTGAATTGTTTTAATGAGACATTAGATGTTATATTAGCAGTGGATGCGTCTGAAGACATAGGAGCTTTGTTACAAATGGTTAATAATATTAAGAAACCAATTTTATTTTTATTCAGACAATTTAATAGTACTAAAAATTACTCGAAAATAGAAAAGGAAGTTTTAGCAGACAAGTTTGGTTTGACTTAGTGTATAATATTTATCCAGAAGGTTTTTGCTATATACGGATCATTTGGTACGAAAAAATACTTTAATTCAAATAAATACGCCAACAAGATAATATTTTAAATAAAAAGTTTGTTGAATATGATTATGAACTTTAAAGTTTTTCTGGTTCTGATATATGTGGAAAAATTATATTACTTTTAAATATATATAAATTATTCTGTATATTATTACATTAAAGTCATTGATATTAATCTACTAAATTATAATAATATATTATTGATGCATTTAAAAAATATATCAAAACACTTTTATTAACATTAGCAACACTTCCCATAACTACTTGCACCAATGAGCGGTCATTTTCGACATTAACTCGACCTAAAAGTTATTTAAGGGCAACCTCTGGCCAGGCGAGAACCAATGGATTGGCTCTTCTGATAGAGATTTTAATCCTACCCCAAATGAGGTTATAGAGGAAATGGCTAAAGGGCCACTAAAAATTAAGTTAAATATCTAAAATATAAAGTTTTTTAACATAGTATTTATAGTTTTTTTTTAATCAAAAGAAATCGAAATATTTTTCAAATAAGCACTTATTATTATAAATTTATTTAGTTTACATAAAATTATATTTTGTTATTTATAAATTATTTTACAATAGTTTATATAAAATTTATGTATTGTTATATAGTATATAAATTTTTTTAACATTTATTTTAATATATATAACATTTATAATATTTTAATCTATAATTTAAATGTGTTATATAATACTACTAATTATAAAATATATCATTTATAATTATAGCAATTTATATCATTTATAATTAAAGCAATTTATATCATTTATACTCAGCAATTTATATGTGTAATACTAATAGTTATAAAGTATAATTTATAATTAAGGCAATATAATATTTATAATTAAAGCAATTATCCCAAAAATCCAACATGCCTTCAGCTCTGCCCCACTTTTCTTATTCCCAGAAATTCTCACCTAAATAGAATCAACAAAGACTCTTTAGAAGGCATCCTCAATATAAAATTCAGCCCTAATTATTGGATGCAGGCCTCCTTACCTTCGAAATTTGGGGGCCTTGGCCTAAGATCACCCGCGTCACTCAGCCTTGCTGCCTTTTTAGCCTCAGAATCAAGCTGCCGCTTAATTATTCTACCACTTAAAAATAATCCCACAGACCCCCACCTTCCCCACGCCCTAAAATTCTGGAAAGAGAATTCCCACTCCGCTCCAATCCCCACATCACGAAAGCAACATGACTGGGATCTTCCCTTAATACGCCACTCCGTTGAATATCTAATATCGAGTGCTGCTTCTAAGGGATCCCCATCAATTCTTTCAAATTTATTATCTCCCATTCCAGTTGATGAATCCTTAACTGTTGATCATCTCTCTCTCCCACAACTGCAAGTTCCACAACTTTTGCCTTCCCTATCGAGCTATGAATGGTTAGAAACTTTGCCCAGCTCAAACTTAGAACTCCTCTTAACAACGAAGAATTACGCAGAGCAATAGGTCTTTGTCTTGGTTGTAAAATACTGGCTAACTCCGCATGTACATTATGTTCCCAACCCGTTGATTGTTTCGGACATCATCCTCGTCATTGTCGATTCTCTAAAGGTAGACATTCTCGACACAGTGCAGTTAACAGCACCATGCTCTACACTCAGCTCAAATTACCGCAACCCTTGAACCCTGTGGCCTCTCAACTGAGAATAGTATACGGCCAGATGGGCTGACCTTAATACCTTGGAGTAATGGAACTCCATTAGCATGGGATTATACTTGCATCGACCGATTTGCTCCCTCGTTTAGTAACAACTCATTCGTGCTAGTGGAAAACTCTAAAATTAATAAATACACTTCCCTAACCAATTGCAATCTCATACCAATTGTATCCGACACAACCGGTTTTTTTGGCAATCATGCCCTAACCTTCTTCAAATCCCTTGGTAAAAAAAATCGCGCCATCACTGGTGACCCACAGGAAGGCTTCTATCTTAGACAGCGTGTAATATGCAGATCTAACTGTATTGCCATCCACGGCTCCCTTTTTTGACCTCCTCCCACCCAACATACAATTTATTATACTAATTTTATTTAATACAGTTTTTATATAGATTTTATTTTACATATAATATTTATATTTTAAATAATCGCTTTTTATATGTAAATTGATTTCTATAAAGGTATAATAAATTGAAAGGTATATCTATAAAAGTTATGTCGAAATGTGTTATTTTAATTAAAATTAGTGTTGTTAATAGCTCAAGTTGAGCCGATATGGCTAACTCAATATATTAGACAGAAAATTATGCAAGCCTGAAAATTTGCTCATGGATGATACAAAGGTTTAGACATTATTCGTTAAATCTTTATGCTTGAGCAATATTTTTTTGGCTAAAATATTGAGTTTATTTATAAAAATCGGCTCAAATCGAGCCGTTTAACAACACTAATTAAAATGATGAATAATTCTAGAATTTTTAAGGTCTGGGGGGCGAAGCCCCCTAAGATTTTATATGTATGGATCCCCTCTAAGGAAAATTTTTAGCTATGCCACTGCCGTTGGTAGATTTGTAAAAAACATTAAAGAATTGATGATTTCCCCGAGATTACAAAAATGGTTGATATTGGTTGGTAATTTCGATTTTGAAATAAGATTCAGAGCTGATAAACAAAATTGTTAACCAGATATATTATCGAGACTGTTTACTAAAGAAATGGAAAACAAAAATAAATATCCCATAATTAATAGTTTAAAATATATTAATGAAGAAGATGAATTAAATATTTATAAGAGCTTTAAAGGTTGATACAAGAGAAAAGCCTATAATGATAGAACTGGTAGATAAAGTATCTAAGTAAAATGAAGAATTAAAACTAATTTGAAAGGTGATATAGAATGGGAAAGCTAAGGCAAATCGTTCAAAAACATTAAAAGTGAATTAAACATAGAAGACAATTGTGTAATGAGAGGATATCGTTTAGTTATACCTGATTTATTAAGAAAGAATATTTTAGCAACTGTGCATACCGGAGTTCAAGGCATAGAAAAAATGAAGAATAAAGCACGAGTATATATTTGCTGGCCCATCTGAATAGCGAGATAGAAGAAGTAGCTAAGAGTTGTGATACATGTAACATGTGTGCTAATGTACCAGCAAGAAACAAAGAAGATAAATGGCCAGAGATGAACATTCCATGTGAAAGAATACACCTAGATTTTTTAGAATATGGGAAGAAAATAATTATCATGGTAGATGCAGGTTCAAAATGGATATATTGTCAGGATTTATCAACAAGAGTAGATTTGGATAAGATAAAAGATTTTGTAGGTAAATATGAATTAAGAAGACGTTAGTATCAGATGGAGATCCAACTTTTAAAGGCAGAGCATTTGGCAAATTTTGTGATTTATTTTCGCCACCACATTAGCCAAAAGGGTAAAAGAATTTCATAGAGATGAGAGATGGAAATAAGGATAAGGAATAGATATATATATCAATGTCAATTCTTTTTGTAGATGTCGTCATATTTTAGATTAGGTAACAAAATAATTAAGATAGAGATCAGAGAAATAGATGGTTCTTAAGAATCTAGAAAGTGGGTGAATGCTGCCAGGGAAGAAGCATGGGGAAATGATCCAAGACAAGAGAGAAACAGGGCAACGGAGAAAGGTAGCTTGTTGGGGATGTAGAGGTAATCATTTAATGAAAATTTGTCCAGCATCGATATTGACGGTCAATAATAATTCATTATTAGAAATACAAGATGAAGAGGGCCAGGCCAAGGTGAATCCAGGTTACATAACCGGACAGGAGGAAGGGTCAACTTAAGGAAGGGGGTTTCATGATTAACTATTTTTTGGAGATTCAAATTATGTGGTTAAATAATTTGTTTTATTCAAATATTAAATAAATAGTTCAATTTTTGGTATATTCCGAATTGAAGTTATGAATATAGTTTTTGTTATTATGTAAATAATTCGCCTTATAATGTTTTGTATTTTATTAAGTATTATTTTTGTTAAGTTACATACGAGAAAAAACGTTGTTTTTATATTATTGCTATGCAAAATTTTGTAAATAGAAATAGTTTATAAAGAAAAACAAAATTATAAATTCAATTCTTTTTTTTTTATTATAAATTAAATAAAGTTTTAGTCTATATTAATTGTTGCTTAAAATTAAAGTAATTCACTCGATCCTGTACCAAGACTCTGAAAATATATAATAGTTTTAATAAATAAATCACAACGTTAAAAAACTTATTAAAATGAAGGTTGGTTCAAAATGGTGATATTTTATATCGTTGAGCAGTATATATTAGTATAAGTCTATTATTATATCATGATATAATCCCTAATAAAATAATTATTTACCAATGTATTTTATTTTCATCAAAGGTGGCAAACCCTCGAGTAGCAATCTGCAATGAATTGAAATATGTAAGCGGTTGAACAATAACTGTTTTTCAGTTTGAGATAAGTGTGTTTTGTTTAATACCCTTTTCTAATTGGCAATGATGTAATAGTAACAATATTATAAATTAACTTTAATACATAATGGCAGAAATGGATAAGTACCATTCACAATAACATTAGTAGCTTCTCGCATCAGATACTTTGGCAATCTTAGCAAAAAAAAATTTCATATTATAATATTGACATTAACCCTTATATATACCATTTAATATATATTTAAAAAATAAAAATTGATTAAATTTATAAAATATGGTTGTTTGTTATTCAGTAAACAAAATTTTATATACAGTGTTGTGATGATTTAATGAAACATGTTGACGATTAAATTAAAACCCATCCTTATAAAAATATTTTGTTTGCAAAAATAATTAAAAAACACAATGAGGAATAAAAGAATTTTAAATAATGCTTTGTCTATATTAGGGCTGTGCCGATCCACATATTTTTTACCGATCCAATATTTTCCGATATTGCTTCAAAAGCTATCCAATATTTATACTGATTTTTAATCACCCCCGTTTGAAACAAATGTAATTAAGAAATCAATATTTTTTATGCAAAAAATCGAATTTTGAATTAAATTTTTATATTTCTACAATTAAGACTATAATAAAAAATTTATATTTAATAATATATCCATTTTATGTTGGTATGAATTACAAAATTGTAATATATAATATATAAAATTATAATATATTAGATTTTTTAATAAATATGAGAGCCTCCAAATTTTCTGGGAATAAGCTTCCACGATATGGACTATCTATATCTCCTGCCGTACTGAAGGCAGACTCAGATGATTCCGCAGATAACGCATTTTGCAAAATTATCTTTGTCTTTTGTAAAATATTTTTATAATTCAGATACCATATTTAAAATTCTTTTATTTAAAGTATAAATAAAAAAATTGGCGTTATTTAAAAAGATTGTTTTTCATATGCTTGAGGCATGTGATTATTTTTTGTTCTGTTATAGGTTGTACAAGGTTTTGACATTGGGAGTGTTCGTCTAGATGTAGTATGTGGGGATTAAAGTTGAGAAGCTCCTGAAAATATTCCATATATTCATTATTTCTTTTTCCTTTATTATCAATTTCCCATCTTAATTTTTGATTACTTTCGAAGCTTCGTTTATATCCCTAGAATTCTTTTCTCTGTGTTTGGCTAATCTGTATATTTTGTTTTGCCCCTCTTTAATATGTAGTTCTTCATACATGTCATCGTATGCCATAGCTTTGGCCCTAGCCACCGCCTTTGTAGCTATTCTCTTGGATTTTTTGTAATTTGTCTTGACATCTGGATTTTTGGATTTGTAACATTTTTTATATAGGGCTTTTTTCTCGTGTATAGTGGTTTGTACCTCTTCATTCCACCACCATAGTTCTTTGTATGATTTGTTGCCTCCCTTTGTCAAGTATAGTGTCGATTTTGCAATGTATATTAATCTGGATGAAAGGTCTGTCCATATTTTCACTGACTTGTGAGGAATCTATTGTTTCAATGTTTGCATTGATTGCAAATGCATCTGTCATTGTTTTTAATTTACCCCATTTGATGCATGGTTCAAGTTTTATCTTATTTTGAGTGGATTTATTTGAGATGTGTAAATCCATGACTAGTAGCTTGTGTTGTGCGGCGATATCTTCTCCTGGGATGACTTTGCAGTCTATTACATCTTTTAATCTTCTGCGAGAGATTAGCATGTAATCTATCTGTGTTTTCCTTGTACCACTTTCATATAGTAGGCGTTGGTTAAGGCAAGGGCTTATGCAAATTTAAGTACATGATCTCCTTCATCATTCTCCATATCCAAAACCACCATGATTCCTTTTGTAGCTGTCTCTTGTTTTTCCCACACGTGCATTCAAGTCTCCACCTATTATCACTAGGTCTTCCTTAGGGATTTCATTAGAGCTTCATCAAGGATAGCTCTAAAGTCATTTTTCTCTTCTTCCTTGCAACTCGTTTTAGGTGCATATACTGAAAGGATGTGTAGTAATGATTGACCAATACAGAGTTTTATCTTCATTAGTCTATAGGGAGATCCTGCTGACTTCTACTACTAAGGAGGTTAGATCTTGACTGAGGATGATGCCGACACCGTTCCTATTGCTATATAGTACAATTTATACCCGTCTCCAATCATTAAAGTCTTCTGACCTTTCCATTTCGTCTCTTGTATGCACGCTATATCAACTTTTCTCTTGTTCAACATTGATGCCAATTCTCTCGTCTTACCTTTAAGTGTACCAATATTCAAACTTGCTAACCTTGTCTTCTTTGCTTTGACCTTTATTTTACTTTTCGTAGGATGGAGGTCTACATCCTGCGCGTCGCTTGGAGGGAACGCCCTAGCTTTCTTATTCATATTTTCATTTGTGTCCTTCATTTTTGTTTATTGGACAAGTATCTTTAGCATCCAGCTGTACAAGCCTATCGGTGACCGGGGTGTCATCTCTAGCTCCGAAATTCATCTTACCATATGTCTTTACACATCAGTCATCGAAGAAAATCCCGAATATTTTTACGTTCCTTACCAGGATCGAACCTGGGACCTTCGGTTTCCAAGCCTACATTATAACGCACTAGGCCACCCCGGCGATTTAAATTATAGATGTTGTACCAATAAAATGTTTATTAAAAATTAAAACCATTGGTATCTTCAGAATACAAAATTAGATATGATATCGGATCGGTAATCGGCCGATATCAATTTAATAACGGGAATCTCGGATTGGATAGACCTCCAAAAAGTGGTATCGGTACACCCCTAATCTCGGTTAAGCAGAGTTGTTAATGTATCTAGATACAAGTATCTTGATACTGTATCTAGATATAAAATGCGGTATCTGTATCTGTATTTAGATAGATTTTTAATTAATGTACCTGTATCTGTATCTAGATATTATTTACGTGTTTTAGATAATTTTTAAGATACATTTTTGATATATTTTTATTTAACGCTTTTTTATATTATAAATAAAAATACTTAAATACAAAATTTATTTTATTTCATATGAGCGTATAATTTAAATATATATATATTAAAAAAATATTAAGACTACTATAAAAACTTATACATATATAAAATATTAAAACTTATATATAAAATATATATATTCATTAAATATTATGTGTGAGTTTATCAATAAACCAGACAAATTTTGATATTACAATGCAACTCAAGGAATCTGCCATTTTAATTTTCGATGGAATTGGTTAATTTTATTTTATTATACTAATTTTTAAAATTTATTTTAGATTAATATTAATAGTGTTGAAGAGGAAGAGGAATAAGTAATAATCAATGAAGCATCAACAAGTTCAGACATTGTTTTATGGCCAATTTATAGAGCATATTAATATCTCAAAATAAAGAAAACAGTTTTCTGATAGTAAAATGTTTGCCATATCTATAAAATAATACGAAAATTTTAGTATCATTATCTCAACTTGCAATATTGTAAAACATTTAAGGGTATAGATACTAAATAGATGTTTACCATTGTAATTTTAAATTTTAAGAGAAAAAATCAGACACTGTTAATGAAAAAAACAATACAATGAATAGTTGATGAATTATCGAGGTCTTCAATTGATTGCAAACAAATAATCTGTGAAAAAAACAAAATTTAATATCCGATTTTTTGATTGTTAATAATGATTTCAATTTTGATACTCAACAATTTAAATTTTTTCGAAAATGAATGTCGAGATTTTATTTTTAAAGAATATCCTGATATTGTTATTGATAAAATATAACATCACAATCCCATCAAGCACCCTGGTAGAAAGACTTTTTAGTGTAGCTAAAAATGTCTTTACAGATAAACGAGGATGCCTTAATGACCAAAAAATATTTTATTACTGAAATCTAATAATTACTTCATATATTTTATTATCATATTAAAATCTAAAAATCATTATTTTACTTATATTTTAATAAATGTGACATCTAGTCAATAAAGTTATAGCTCATTTCATACATTTTCACAATAGAATCATAATTTAGGTTTATGCAAAGCTTATATAAGAGTATTAAAAAAGTATCTGTATCTAGATACATTAAAAATAGTATCTGTATCAAGATAACCTTTTAGACAATGTATCTGTATCTAGATCTAGATAACTTTTTAGACGATGTATCTGTATCTAGCTCCATTTAAAAAGTATCTTTTAACAACTCTGATATTAAGTATGGTTAGGCTGCATTCAAAGTGGAGACAGATCCATTTTTACATCTGTTCCGTCAAAAGTCAATCTCATTAAAAATGATATATATATTGATTTACATTTAAAAAAAATTATAAGTAATGTTATAACACTATATAATTTGCCGAATCAAAAAGTCAAAATGTTTTGACTTCAAAATTTGTCGGATACATTTTAAGACGGAAGTTATCGGAACCGACGCACTTTGACCATATATACCATTTTTAATGAAATTGAATTTTGACAGAACGGATGTAAACGAATCTGTCTCCACTTGAATGCAGCCTTAGTCAGTAGTCTATTATTGATATTAAGAGGTACTTTTGAGATAGGTTTTTATTCTCTTCATTTTTAGACATTTTTTATTCTCTAATATTTTATTATTTGTATTTGAATATTAAAAAAATTATCACCCCATTCCCACAGAAAACTCCTGGCTAATCGCAATGGGCAATTTAGGCAAAGTGCACCCAAGCCAATATTAATCTCAGGTGGACTAATAAAATTTTACAAAAAGTCAGAGAATTATGAGAACCTATCTAATTTATTATGTACATATTGTCTGACCAGTTTGAATTTTTTTTAGGGAAGAATTGCCCAGCCCATTAAATATTTTGCCTGGCCCAAACCTTAACCCTTTCACGCCCAGCGAGATCATTTGTCATCAAAATTTTTAATCATTAATTTTCATATTTAAAGAAACTAATGGTTAGTACTTAGAGATATTAATTTATAAAACAATATTTATTATTTTGTATTTTATCCTTAACCTGTCAAAATCATTATTTCATTATATCAAAATGTCAAAATCATTATTTTATTATATCAAAGTACAAGTATTTTTTGTTCATGGGAAATATTTCGGGCGCAAAAGGGTTAAGACAGGCCAGGTTTTATAGTCCTTAATTATTATCAATTTTTTTCTTAATTATTCTTAAAAAAATTATTCAGAATAGTTAAATGACCTGATTACATATGAATATTAATTAAAATCTTTTTAATAGATTAGATATTGATCAAAAATTAATTTTATATTAAAATAAAATATAGCAAAGGTATTTTATTTTAATAAATTTTAATTAAAAGTAGAAATTTATGCATATTATATTAATTCATTTAAATATTAATATTTATTTGATCAAATATTAAATTTCAAATAATTTAATAAAATTACCTGGCTTGTGTTAAAGTGTTTCTTGATAAATTGGCCAAAAAATCTGCTGTATCAATAAATATAGAGTTTTGGTTATCAAGGAATGAAATTATTTTCTACAAAAAATACATTATAGTATATTTTAAAATAATGTTACATCACATTTATCAAAATTTATTTGGTGTTTAATCCATCTGATAATTCCTAATAATCTAATGAGGTGCTTTCTGGTTTTATCAGAAAACATGATTATCTCCTTTTTTCTAAAAATATATTAATATAATATTAAACAGATTCAAAATCAACCTTTCAAAATCTATTTTTCGAGGCAATATTTCCGAAAGTATCATTATGTCGTGATATGTTCTTTGCACAGAAAAATCCAGCAGCATAACAAAAGAAATGGAAGGTTTTTCATAGGAACCCATTTTTGAACCCTGATGTAAGAAAAAAAAATTTAATGATAAACCAATGATAATGAACGTCGTAGGATAACATATAGCAATTTATTAAATAATTAACAAATATGGTTTTATTTGCAAATTTGTAAATATTCTTTTATATATAGTATGTAAAATGAAAATATATCCTTCACAATTATCCAATTAAATCTATATGTTCAATTCCAATTTATATTCTAGTATTGTTAATTAGTTCTTTGTAGTGTTGTTAATTTGCTTAGTCTTAAATTTTACACCCAATTTGGTGCTCAGGCCTACTCTGAGGATGAACTCGGAGCACAGACCCGGGGTCCAGACCTGGAGTTCAGACCCGTGGTTTTTACTCTGGGTCCATGAATAATCTTATTCCAAATAATTCAAATAAAAATTCTAGTATAGAAATAGTAAAATACAATGGCATTTTCTGGGTTTAAATAATAAAGCCCTGCAAGCAACTCAATAGAGTTAAAAAAAGTTTTTAACAGGACCACCTAGGAAGTGTTTTTATTTGCTTGGTCGTAAAATTTACGACCCTTTTATGTGTTCAGGCCGTCCCGGGGTTCAGACCCTTGGTTCAGACCCACCTATGGATTACACCTGAGGCTAGGAGAAATGAAAAGTAAGAAAAAATAAATCTTTAATCTTAAATTAAATCTTATACATTCAAAATTAATAAAGCTTTTAATCTCATTTTCTTACCATTTAAATATTTGTTTTAATTTGGTGTATTTTGATTAAAATATCGGCCCGAACCCGAATTTTTCTTAAAAAAAATATACCGGCACGGCCAGAATCTATTTAAATATAATTAATTTTTAATTTACTTTCCTTTAACTATGTATATTTTTTTTATAAACAAATCCCCCACATATTTTCCGATTAAAATGAAGTGAAAGTGAAACGAGTAATATTATTTTTTTTTTATTAAATATACAATAAAAGGGGTAAAAAAATAAAATTTTATTTTAGTACATATTTTAATTATATATGGACAAAAAATAAAGATTAATGTCATCCATGTTTAAATTATAAAAAGAAATTATGTTGTAAATTTATAATTTGTGATGAAAAATGGCAAAGTCCCATCATGATGCGTTTTTTTATATTTTTGAAGTTGTTTATTAATTATTATTTTTTTAGTTATTTACTTAGATAATTTTTTTAAGAAAATAATAATTTAAAAATCCCTCTATTGCACCTTGTAAACCTGAGGCAACGTCTTAAATATTTTGCTATAAATATTGTTATAATTGATTTTACGATCTAACGCGCATTGTATTTTCTAAGTAACATATATATTTTATAATAAAGACGTCAATCATGAACATAACATTATTTTTCTATCAAATATTATACATTTATTTTTCGCTTTTTATAAAATGGCTACCTTGAAAATTTAAATTTATTTATCGTATTTTGATTCGTTATAAATCATTTAAATTCTAGTGGAATTCTATAAATATTTTTAAATCTAGTAAAAATAATATCATTTTATATAATTATTATATTTTTATAAATTTTAACATAACAATACATTTTTTATTTCTGATAATATAATATGTTAACTGAGGTTAACATTGCCCATTTAGACGATTTTTGTTATAATAAAATATTTATTGAAAATATTTTCAAATAAATTTATAGCTCAATGACTAGTGATATAAATTATAGAATACCGGTAGATAGTGAGGATTCTCAATTGAGTGATTCGTCTGATGAAGAATATTTACCATGTGATACTGGTAAATTTAGTATTTCTTATGCTATAATAAATATTTTTAGGGGCAATTGAATCAGATTATTCGGATATTGAAAGCAATGACTCTGACTCAAGCCATCCTGATGATGGATTGTCAGGACGACGAAATATATGGAAATCCTCTTTAACTAATGTCCCACGAGTAGCCCCAGATTGGAAAGGCAGTTTACCCTTCGCCAATAAAGTTAAAAATCCGATATACTACTTCAAATTTTTACTGGGAAATATACTTCCTACAATAGTTCAATCTATATTCTATTCAAAAAGATATAAGCAGACCCCTTAATTTATTGTTAGATGAATTAGAACAATTCATAGGTATTTTGTTCTATATGATTATAAATCTACCAAGAGCTCGTTTATATTGGACGGCTAATACTAGAATCGCTAATGTAGCTAACATTATGTCAGTAAAAAGGTGGGAGTTCATAAAATCCTGTTTTCACATAAATGACAACACGAAAGCATGTCCTTTTGGGACTGAAGGGTATGATGCTCTTCATAAAATACGACCTATGCTGACGATCACAACAAATATTTTAAAAGATATTACACTAGGAGAAAATCTATGCGTCGATGAGCAAGTTGTTCCTTTCAAGGGACAAAGTAAGATGAAACAATACAACCCCCAAAAGCCTAAAAAGTGGGGTTTTAAATTCTTTTTATTATGTGGAAATGATGGTATTGTTTATAATTATGAAATGTATATGGGGAAGATTCTCCAAGCCGAAGGTATGCCAGATATAGGAGCTTGTGGGAATTCAGTTCTGCGCATGGTTGTCGCAGTTCCATTGAATCAAAATTATAAGTTATACTTTGACAATTGGTTCTCTAGCATAAACTTACTGGTTATATTAGCGCAAAGGGGAATACAATGTGTATCAACGGTTAGGGCAAATCGCCTCAAAAATTGTGTTTTGCCGACAGATCAAGAGATCAAAAAAAACAGTGATCAATGGAGTAGAATTATCTGTAATCAAATGGTTTAACAATCGTTCAGTTTATCTAACGAGCAGCTTTATAGGGGCCCACCCGATATCTGACGTGAAACGATTCGATAGAAAAAAAAGGAAAGCATTAATGTAAAATGTCCAGCCATTGTTAAAAATTATAATAAAAACATGGGTGGAGTGGATCTTATAGATTCCCTACTAGCATTATATAGAATTCATATCAGGTCCCGAAAATGGTATCACCGAGTAGCCTTTCATATATTTGACATGATGCTTGTTAATTCATGGCTATTGTACCGGAGAGATTGTAACCTGTTACAAATTCCCAGGAAAGAGCAGGAGTCGCTCCTAACTTTTAAAATATCAGTTGCAGAAGTATTGTGCAAAGGAAATAAAAGCATTAATTCAGTAACGGGTAATAAACGAATATCGGTGCAATCGGAATATATAAAAAAGTGTAAAAAAGGTACAGCACAATGTTTACCAAATTTGGAAATTCGGAAAGACCAATTTGCACATTGGCCTAAGTATAATGACCAAAAGGTCAGGTGCAAATTACCAGGATGTAAGGGGATTACAAAAGTAGCTTGCGACAAATGCGGGGTATCATTATGTTTTACTCCAGCAAATAATTGTTTTACTATATTTCATAAAAACTGATTTTTTTGCATTTGTATATCATTTTTATACATTATATAATTTACAAGATTAAAATAAAAATATTTTAACCTTATATGTGCGTTGTGTATAATAGTTAACATACTCCAAAAAAACTTAGAAATATTTAAAAAATTTGGGAAAAAATATCGTTTCCTTCTTTAGATATATATAGAGAGTAAAAAAAAATGAGTATTATAAATATTTCGCTTTAATTGATATAGAGGGCAATAGAGTAAGTTTTTTTATATTTTTGAAGTTGTTTATTAATTATTATTTTTTAATTTTTAAGAAAATTTTAAAATTAAAATTAAGTAAATTTTTTTATATTTTTGAAGTTAAGTTTATTCAATTTTTTTAGTTATTTACTTAGATAATTTTTTTAAGAAAATAATAATTTCAAAATTAAAATTAAGTATGTTTTTTTATATTTTTGAAGTTGTTTATTAATTATTATTTTTTAGTTAATTACTTAGATAAATTTTTTTAAGAAAATAATAATTTTAAAATTAAAATTAAGTAAATTTTTGAAGTTAAGTTTATTATTTTATAAAAAGTTTAAATTGAAGATTTTATAAGGGCCGTGAAGTTGGCCCCTCACTTTTAGATTTTTAATAGTTTATCAGTTAGACTAATTTGTACCCGATTTGTACCGTTTTCAGTTCGATTTTTACCATCACCGCTTTTAAGATATTCAAAGAACAAATTGGGGTAGGGCAACTTAACGACAGCCACCCCCCCCCCCCTCAACTTTTGAATTTAAAAATAAAAAGTGTATAGGTCGATAGAAAATGATTTGTACCGATTTGACTGTTTTAAACTCAATTTGTATCATTGCTGTTTTCCAGCTATTGACCGTTAAAAATATGGCGCTAAAAATAAAAAAAACACTCAATTTTTTTTTAATTTCTTAACGTACAACGATAGAGAATTTTTTCACTTCCTAATGAGGCCTCAAATTAAGTTTTATCTAAAAATATACACACATTTGTAAATATATATTTATCGCTCGGCCCAACATAATAATTTATTTAATCCTATTTTTTTGGTATTTTTAAGCTCTAAGTGGTCCCAATTAAAATATTTAACCCTAAGCTGAGTTGCTTGCAGGATTTTACTATCTAACCATAGAAAATGCCATGTTTTTTTGAACTATTTGTAACATAATTCATCTGGACCTCTGGTCTGAACTCTGGGTCTGGACTCTGGGTCTGAACTCTGGGTCTGGACTCTGGGTCTGAACCCCGGGTCTGTGCTCGGGGTTCGTGCTCAGAGCTGGTTTAATTAATTTTTTAAACCTAAACCCCGGGTCTGGGTTTTACACAACCAACCAATTAACAACACTACACCTAGGGCTTAAAGATACCAAAAATATAGGATTTAAATGAGTTATTAAGCTGGCTAGAGCGATTATTTCCAAGTATGCTATACTAGTTCGGAATTAGATACGAATCTTCTGTCGGATTTCTTTAATTTCCTCCCTATTTTTTAAATGTATTTTAGAGTAGTACATTTGATAACATTAATTCTTAAATTCGGCAAGATTGAGCTTGAATTGGATATTTAGAATACTTTTTTATCGTTTTTATCTATAAGGGGTGGGGGGGGGGGATTGGAGGTTATAAACAAACGTCTTTTTGTTTTACCTATTTCGAAGTCAAAATATATCAAATCTTCCATTTACACTTTTTATATAATTTGTTTAATTGCCATAATTGGGCAATGGCTAAATACAAGCTATTTGTCGCAATCTTTAGGCGCTTGCCGAAGAAAACCTTTTAACATTGAGGCGTTTTAATTTATATTCTTTCTTCCAAATTTGAGCCACTATCTTTTTAAGAAAAACTCAGAAAAGCCAGAGTGATAGTTTTCGGCTTGGTCTAGCCTATTTTTTAGCCGGCTAAAAATATCTTTGGTTTGGAGAAATTTAAAATTAAAATTGTCGTAAAATTAAAAAATAATTATAAAAGGTTTTAATTTAAGTTAAATTTTTTAAAAATAATAATTTTTTTCTCAACATTTTCTTTCAAGTTTTTAAAAGTAAATGTGTTATTTTAATTATTTTTCTAAACAAAATATTTTTATCTGAATGTTTTTATTTTTAATTTAATCCAACATGTTTTATTAAATCATCACATAACTGATAAATAATAATTAACAAACTTAACTTCAAAAATCGAAAAAACGGAAATTTTATTTTTAATAATTCATTTTAAAATTATCGCGAAAGTTAATTTAATAAAAAAATATTTATTTAATTTTCTATATAAATAACATACTATTTTTATTTTTTTATATAATAATTGACGTTAAAAAAAAAATTAATAAACAGCATCAAAAATATAAGAAAAACACATGCTCATTGTTGAGAATAATTATGGCAAAATATAAAAAAAATGGGTTAGAGAAATAATTGTCGATATTATAACTAAGAAATTTTGTAAAGTTGCTTGTAGAAGATATCCTATAAATCCCACAAATGTTTTGAAGAGTGTTATAAACTAATAATTATATGAATTTAAAAAAGTCTGGAGGAGAAAAAATGGCTAGGTCAAATTTACTCTAATCAAAAGAACCCCAAACAAACATTTAAATGGTTAGAAAATGAGATTAATTTAGAATAAAATAATAAACAAAGCTTTAATTTATAATTAGAATGCATAATAAAATTTAAGATTAGTAAATGAGATTATTTTTCTTGGTTTTTGTTTATCTGAACCTTTTGTCTGAACCCCAGGTCTTAACCACGGGTCTGAACCTCGGGTCTGGAAAGTATAAACCCCTGGTCTAAACCTCGGGTCTGAACTCCGCGTCTGTGCTCGGGGTTCGTGCACAAAGCTGGTTTAGTATATTTTTAGAACCAAACCCCGTGTCTGGGTTTTACACAACCAACCTCCCGAGTATAGGCCCGGGTTTTAGACCCAGAGCAAAAACCAATTTATAGTTGTTGTTTTTTGAACTAGAATGTATATATGTTCAATATATATACTAACCGAGAGCTAATCAAAAGATCGATCTATTCATTAGGAGGACAAGCGTTTCCTTTCGATAGGTTAATCTAAGGCTCGGAGGGGTGGGGGGGGGGGGGGTGGATCAGGAATATTTTTTTCAACATATAATAATAATATGGGTATCTATAAAAGGTGTTTTAATTATATCTTGACTGTAATCATAATTATTATTTTAAGTAGGCGATTCTAGGTCTTGAGGGGTTAGGAATATTTTTAACAACGCAAAATATTGATACGGGCATCAAATAAAAGTTAATTTAATTATATATCATAATTATTATGTGCTCTGATCTAGGTTTTGAGGGGTCAGGAATATTTTTATCAACTCAAATATTGATATGGATGTTAAATAAAAGGTATATTATATTTTATTTGTAAACTAAATTATCATTCCAAGTGGAAGGGTCTAGAATCTTTGGTTCCACGTCATTATAGAGAAACCATTACAGAGAATGTATTTTACAGAGAAACTTTTATAGAGAAAACAAAAATAATGCACTTATAGAGAAAACAATTATAGAGAATGACGTTTATAGAGAAAATTTTATAGAGAAAGTTTTATATAGAGAATGACGTTTATAGAGAATGCACTTATAGAGAAAACAATTATAGAGAATGTCGTTTATAGAGAATAATTTTATAGAGAATAATTTTACAGAGAATGATTTTACAGAAAATGATTTTATAGAGAATGATTTTACAGAGAATGATTATATAGAGAATGTATTTTATAGAGAATTATTTTGTAATGAATATATTTTATAGAATTATTTTATAAAGAATGTATTTTATAGGGAATTATTTTATAGAGAATTATTTTATAATGAATGTATTTTATTGAATTATTTTATAAAGAATATTATTTTACAGAAAATTATTTTACAGAGAATGATTTTACAGAGAATGATTTTACAGAGAATGATTTTATAGAGAATGTATTTTATAGAGAATTATTTTATAATGAATGTATTTTATATAATTATTTTATAAAGAATGTATTTTATATGAAATTATTTTATAATAAATGTATTTTATAGAATTATTTTATAAAGAATATTATTTTATAGAGAATTATTTTATAAATAATTTTATTTAAGAATATGATTATTTTATAAAAAATGTTATATATAGTCATAGGAAAAAAATTACAGTATTTGACATATTATTATATATAAAATTGGGTATGAATTATTACAATCGGTACAGAAAATTGTTTGTTTATCTTTGCACAAGACTTTTCGATTATTAGATGAATTAAGGGTAGATCAAAATTTTGACATGATTTGTAAGGAAAATCATATAGTAAAAGAATATAAAAATTTTTTACAAATTTAAATTTATTATTTAATTATATTTATTTAAATTAAGTAACTAGTTACTTTGGCAGTTACTTCCTAAAAAATCCAGCTACAATTACGATTTTGTAAATGTAACTAGTTATAAATATTTTTTAGCTAAAGTGTAGCTAGTTAATGGTAACCACTTAATTTGACAAAACTAATGTAGAGATTTTCATTTATAAGCTTTTTTTATCTTCAGCAAAATTTATTTATTATTCTTCCTAAAAATTTTCAATTATAGATGGGACACACCGATAATCCATTCTTTAGTTAAAAGTTATTTGTCACTACAAATTTGCACATGATGTGTAAGGAATTTTACGAAATTTATTTTTAAAGATAAGAATACAAAATAAAATATATAGTGTTGTTAAAAGTTACTTTGGCAATGTGACTTAAAGAATATGTTTAATACTATTTGTATACGAAGTTTTTATAAGATAAACCTTGATAATATACTGAGCTTAGCAATATTCATTTCGAAATATCAAATAAATTTTTATTCATAAAAAATCCAATAAACATAGTATAAATAATATACCAATATAAAGAATACAATTATATGATTAATTAAACATTTAAATTTAAATTATGGGATAAAGCCCTTATATAATCCAGCATGGTTCTTGAATAAAAATCTTTAACAATTAGAAAAATCCTTTTGGATCTTTCGCGATATTC